TTCAATCTCCTGCAGGAGAGATAAAGCAAGGTATCAATAAATATAAATATAAATATAATAACCATATAGATAGCTTTCACACATTAAAAAGGTTCTCCCTTTTTGACTCTCTGTATAAGGAGGTGAAGTTACTAGGCATGGGCAATCCATGGTTCTAAATGTTTCTAAAGTACTTACAAAACTAAAGTTCTGGTGGTGAAAAATAGGGGGCACTGGTGCTTTGCTTCTACACTGTTGCTAAAGTTCTGTTGGTGAAAATTTCAGAAATCTAACAAAACTCAAAATTTCATTATAAATGGCAGTTTCTAATTGGTTCTGCCATAAAAATTGCCAATAATGAAATATTAATGACATTTTGAAAGTTTTGTTATACTTCTGAAATTTTCACAACCAGAACTTTAGCAACACTGTAGAAGCAAAGCACCACCGCCCCCTAGTTTTCACCACCAGAACTTTAGTTTTGTAAGTACTTTAGAACCATTTAGAACAGTGGTTCTCAACCTGGGGTCCCCAGATGTTGTTGGCCTACAACTCTCAGAAATCCCAGCCAGTTCACCAGCTGTTAGGATTTCTTGGAGTTGAAGGCCAAAAACACCTGGGGACCCCAGGTTGAGAACCACTGATTTAGAACCATGGATTGTCCTTGCCTAGAAGTTACGATGGTGGATCACTTCCCATTCTTTGACAAGAATCCTGCTGGTTATCCCCATCAACTCAATTGTTGATATCAATCAACTCAATTGTTGAATGGTAAATCAAAACATAGGTAAATCCCCATGATTGACTGGGTCTGCTCTTGTTTGGAGTAACCATAATTAATCCAAATTAAAGCATTCATGGGTTTATTTAAACTACAGTCAACCCTCCACATTTGCTGAGGTTAGGAACATGGGAATCCAATGAAAATGAAAAACCATGAATAAAGAAATTGCTTTTTTAAAAACCTGAGAGACACTGCTCTAGGGATTTCTAGGTCTCCAACATAACTCTGGTAAACTTCAGCTGAAAACTGAAGATAGAGTTGCATTGAAGAACATAAGGGGTTTCTAGAGAGGTTCTTTCTCTAGAAATCTCTAATTCCTCCAGCATGATTTGGCAGGACAACTCTCTATAAAATTTGTAAATAGGTCTTGTGCCTTCTCTAAAATAATGCAGATTTTATGAGGAGCATTGCCCAATAATGGCTGGCTCCACAGCATGTGTGTAAAGGCCTACATTCAATTGTTAGTCTAAACTAGAGAGGACATGTAAGCAGAACATGTTAAAACTTTATATATAACAAAGATACTAAAATCCCAAGCTTTGGAGTCATTCATTTTAGCATTGCTAGGTCTAGATCAGCATTTCTCAACCTTTGGGTCGGGACATGTATTCCTGATGGTCTTAGGAACCCCTTTGGCAGAGAAAGGTGAAGATCTCTCTGCCTGTCCTTCTCTTCCTTTTCGGAAACAGATAGCAAATCTTCCCACCAAAAGCCCTCCTCTGCTGTGATTGAGCGGCCTCTCAGCCAAGGGGAGTGTTTCTGAGACTCCAAGCAAGGAGGGAAGAGAAGGCGTGCTTGGAGAATGGTGGCGTTGTGCGCATGTGCAGGTGAGGAAGAGAATGCGAGGCTGAAGGGAGGCTTGCACAGATGAGTCTCTTCAAGGTTTGGGGGTTCTGTGTGGGAAGTCTGGCCCAATTCTATTGTTGCTAGAGTTCAGAATGCTCTTTGATTGTAGGTGGACTACAAATCCCAGCAACTACAACACCCAAATATCAAGGTCTGTTTTCCCAAACTCCACCAGTGTTCACATTTGGGCATATTGTGTATTTGTACCAAGTTTGGTCCACATCCGTCATTGAGTCCACAGTGCTCTCTGGATGTAGGTGAACTACATTTTCTGTTAGTCATGGCCGTTCTGTGTGCCAAGTCTGGTTCAATTCCATCATTGATGGAGTTCAGAATGCTCTTTGTTTGTAGGTGAACTAGAAATCCCAGCAACTACAACTCCCAAATGACAAAATCAATCCCCTCCAACTCCAACAGTATTCAAATTTCAGCATATCGGGTATTTCTGCCAAATTTGGTCTAGTGAATGAAAATACATCCTGCATTTCAGATATTTACATTACAGTTTGTAATAGTAGCAAAATTACAGCAATGAAAATAATTTTATGATTGGAGGTCAACACAACATGAGGAACTGTATTACTGGGTTGCGGCATTAGGAAGGTTAAGAACCACTAGTCTAGATAATCTCAGATTGTCTCCTAATTACTCCAACCTACCTTCTCTCTCTTTTTCTGCATATCAGCATCCCCTCAGCATGGAAGTGTGATTTTATAAGTTGTAAGTTGTAATTATGTTTATTGGATTTTATTTTTATATATTTGATTTATCTTTGATCTGTTTGTTTGATTAAATGTTCTGATTGTGAGTGTGATTGATATAATGTATATTGTTTTCTCGTGTTGTAAGCTGCCCTGAGTCCATTTGGCTTTCCTTTACATATTCTGCCAGGGTGTGTTTTTCTTCTTCGACTGCTTGTTTTACTTGTCTGTTCTTTGGTTCAGACTCTGGTAGAATTGTCTTTGGTCTGATTGAAACAGTTGATTTTGTCTGTACTGGATGATTCTGGCTTCATATCTTTCAAATTTTCTGGCTATTGCTGTAATTAGTTCTTTCACAATTTCCAAAGCTTCTTCAATTTTTCTGGTGTTCAGCCAGTACTTTCTGATCAGATATTACTTAATTTTGTCATTCTTCAGTTTCTTCTCCTTCATATTTTTCAGGTTACTTGCATCTGATCATAGATTTCTGATTTTTCAACTCTAACCTGACCTTCCATTTTGGTTTTCCAGTTGATTTTCTTGGAGGCTGCATTGGTTGTAGGAGTATTCTTATTCTTATTATTTCCCCAGGCAGCAAGACATATTGGAACAGCTGTGGCACATATCATGTATTTTCTTATTCTAGGGCACATTTGCAAATATTGGGTGTTCTGTGTTCTGCTGTTCATATAGGAAACATCTGAAAGCACTTCTTGAAGAATTTTCCTTATTAATTCTTTTTATTTTCCTAACACTTCTCCCTGTAGTATGGGAGGTTCCCAAGCTGTTACTGATCAAAGAGAATGTGCGTGTATTTGTTAGCCTTTCTTTTATACTTCTGAAGCTGTACATCTGTGAAGTTATGAGTCATATAGTTAAAATTGGCCTTTTGTTTTTGCACATTTCTTTAAGATATGGAAATAGAACATGTTTACCTTCTGGGCAGAAGACAGGGATTTTTATTTGCATAGATAATTTTGAACTATCCTAGAATGTTCACATAACATTGGAATGTGTGTGGGTCAGTGTAAATGCCTACGGAGTTAGATTAGGGAAGAAACAAATTAGAATAACATATGAAGTATCACCAAGGAATGGGATCAGATTACTTTGCTTTAAACTGGGCTATGTGATAAAGTGCAACAAAAAGGGAATTCTTCACTAACTTCAAAAAATACTATGAAAAGGCACAACTTTTCAAAGAAGAGTGATTTTGGCAAATTTTGAACTGATGGCTTTTATTTTCTATCTTATTCTATTGCTCTGTAATTTTACTTATCATCTGCAGACTGAGTGGTACTGGGTCAGGAATGATTGTGAGCTGCATTTCTATGTTTGAAGAGGCTGCAGCTTGCTGAAAGCAACAATTCATGTGTGGCTACACTGCCAGGTGCAATTTATTATGATATACCCCTCAAAGTCTAGTCATCATAACGTACCTTCCTAATTTTAAACAATCTAGTTAAATAACAAGTGAGTAGGAATGTAATTATTTGCTAATTTTCTTCTCAAGGGAATCAGCATGTAATTTATCATGTTTTTTTTTCCTGTACAAGAAAGTGTTTGAAAAAGGGACATAATTCTGCTAAGTCAAGTTTATCCCTGATCACATTTCCATAACTGTAAATTTAGTGGAGTCTGTAACCTTTACTGTAAGGCAGGCATGTAGCCGAGGGGGGGGGGGGCTTGAGGGGCTTCAGCCCCCCCCCCCGGAAATTCTCATGGTGGTTCGCGAAAAGGCCTTACTGGTGCATTATTTAAACTGTTATGTTTATTCATATCATGATCTGATCACCATACTCAATATATCCCACATGGGAGTATTGGGGTAATGATACAAAAGGTTTGCTAGGCTAGACCCTCTTTCACTCACCCTCTCAGGCCCCCCCTGAAACTCAGCCCCCCCAACCCCCCCTGAAAAAAATTCAGCCCCCCCCCCCCCCGAAATGAAATCCTGGCTACGGGCCTGCTGTAAGGGAAATGAGGAGCTACTATGCATTCTTTGCATCTCCATAGCCAAAGTGGAGTTACTGTGCCAGGAGAGATCTCTGGGAACTTTTCTTGATATTCACCCACATCAGTCTTCAACAGCATATTATCTACTTATTTCTGACTCTTTCCCTTTTGATTATATGTGTGCATGTTTGTGTTCTTCTCAATGTTCAGAACAGTGTAACATAAAAGGTACATAAAGAGAAGAAGCTGACACTTGGTTATTTGACATTTTTGGATGAGTTTCTGTGTTCTTCAGGCAACCTTTTGTAATGGAATGCAGACAGTTATCTCAACGTACAATTAACAGAATTTTTGGACCTCCTTCAAGCCATGCATAAAATGAGGTTATGGTATGGCTGTTCTTCTGCATAAGAATGTAAAGCTGTATATCAAGACAAGGAAACGGTTGAGCACAAAATCTGTAATTGGGTCAATGTTTTGGAATTTACTGGTGTCAATAGGCTAATATAGTTCTATAAATAATAAATTTCCTTGAGTGTAGTTAGAAAAGCAAGAGTATTGGATTTGTAATTGGCTACAGTTCTAGGGGCTTGCAGCCAAGAGAAATCTTTCTGGCTACACCCTGCATGATGGTTCCCAGAAGTGCTGTACATATTGATCTGTTATATTATTGATCTATACTTCATGTGCAATATTTTTATCCTCATTTTTATCCTTTCTTTTCTTTGCTCTAGTATTCGATATGGACGGTTCTCTGGGTCACATGGAATGTTTTCATTATCTGCTTCTATTTGGAAGTAGGCGGTCTCTCTAAGGTAAGATCCACAATTTTATAAAGTTTTGGGGGGCAAAGAGATGGCAGGAGTAATCTCTTGATAAAAGTATTAAAGGAGGACTAACTTCTTGAAAACAAAGTAATAGAAATGATGTTTATTTAGTAAAGATGTGTCTTTTTGTCTGCAACAGTAATGAAAATGAATTAACATAAATGAAATTAGAGATTATCACCTTGAAAACAGGCTGCTTGTGATTGAATACGAGATTCCAGTGTTGCTGCTACTGTTCATAGCAATGGAGGAAGTCTTCACTTACGATGTTGTTCAAAGCCTTCATCACAGGTGCATGGGCTTTCAGCTGTCCCCAAATGACATACTTTGGGATGGGTTTTGAGCTTGAGGAAAGAAATCACATGCCAAGTCAGCACTGTATGGTGTGTGGGGAAGCATTCAGAACAGCCTTTACAGAGGCACAGTGCTCTCAGTTCCTGAAACTGAAGGATGCTGCTACAGACTCTTCTGCATTTTTGCCCATGGCATGACCCAAAAACTACTACACACTTTGCTAATGTACCAGCTGCTACAAAGGTGTGGACTCAATAGAGGAAAGTTTGATAATTGAGGACAAGCCTTTGAGAATGTCTAACCCCAATGGTCCACAATGACCATTACCTGTCCGAATGTATCTCCTGCTATGAACCATCACAAAGCTTAAGATCATCAGGAGAGGCCCTGCTCTCGATCCCACCACTCTTGCAAATGCGGTTGGTGGGGACGAGAGACAGGGCCTTCTTGGCAGTGGCCCCCCGTCTGTGGAACTCTCTCCCTAAGGATATTAGGTTGGCCACCTCCCTCCTTTCCTTTAGAAGACAACTGAAGACCTGGCTCTGGGGCCAGGCGTTCAATTAAAGGCCAGCGGCAATAGAAAAAGGAAATTTAAATTTTGTGATACGGATTCTCCCAGCTCAGCTTAGTTTTACTGGCATGTTAATCTATTAACTTATTGTTAAATTTTATGGATGATGCAGTATAATGTTTTAAAATTATTTTATTGTAAATTGTAACTTTTATTGTAATTATGCTGTTAGCATCCTCTGATGCTCATGTGAGGCCGCGCTGAGTCCCCCTTGTGGGGAGAAGGGCGGGATATAAATATATGAAATAAATAAATGAATGAATGAATGAATGATAGAACACTGCACTTTCATCCCATGTCCGAGTTCATGAGCTACAACTTGCACTATCCTATTCCCCTATTTCTTCTTATGGTTGGCCATGTTTTGTGACAGTTCTCACCATAGGTACTGGGTGCTGTTTTGAGTTTAAATCACTGTTTTATATGCTAGTGGTTTTTATCTTTTATTGCATTATGTGTTTATTTTATGCATTATTCCAGGCACATTTGCCATTTATAAGCTGCCCCAAGTCCCTTCTGGGAGATGGAGGCGGGGTACAAATACAAAGTTGTTGTTGCAATTTGGTGATGGATCTGGGCATTGTATGTTTTTACCCTGTTTCCCCTTCTGCTCCCTCGCCCATATTGTGTTTTTAGTAGTTGTATTTATATTTTTAATGTACCAAACATGCCAGGTTTGTATGGAAATGTGACACTATTTCCTGTGCTGGTCAATGACCGAAATAAATGTTTTGATTTGATTTGAAGTTGTTGTTGTTAAGGTTGAGCTGCATGCCTGGGTTCCCCCTCTACTTGCCTCAATCCCCACTTTCCTTTCTTGTCCCTTCTGTACTCATTTCTTTTGGTATAGACCACATATGTCCTGATCTACTGATTTTGACAGTGGAAGTTAAATAGGTTTAACATCGACACATAGGTTTGAAGAGATTATTTCATGATTCCTGTGTTTCTGGGGAATAAGCATGTGACCAAACTTTTGATGCTGTTAATTGTGTTAATGTAGTTAATAGGAAGGTAGGTAGTCCTGTCAGTTTACTGGATCAATGATTTGAAACATGTGACCGCATATGTCCTGATCAATTCTGTTCTCTCTGTTCAAATGATCATTTGATTTAGGGCACTCAAAAGTCTAACAGATGATCATCCCATGATCTGAAGGCATCTGAGGCAATAACCTTAACTCAGATGCTTAATGTTGTTCGACACTTGCTTCATGTTGTGGCATAAGGATTCTTGAAATAGTGGAAACATTTTCAATCCTTTGCAATATAGTTCAGAAGTCATTCATCAGTGGGCATTTAGCCATCCCCAAGCAAATTTCAGTCAATGCCTAAACTGTTAAAATAATGTAATTATGCTTTCTAATAATAACTGGATGTAACAAGACTATGGCAGGGGAAATAGTTACAACATTTCACCAATCCCATGCATTGTTGTATCAATCTAGTCTAGATTGATAACTTGAGAACAATTCAATGCATAACAATTTGTGTCTTTGGATGATAAAGATGATAAAGAATTAGATGATGGAAACGATATGTGATAAAACACACACACAGACACACATACACAAAGAGAGAGAGAGAGAACAGCATTGACGTTGCTGAAGCCCTTGATACAACCATGAGAAATACCCTTCTTTTCCTTCAGAAGAAATCCTTAGAGGTTAAAGAGATTGACTGTGAAGGTTAATTTGAAAACTTGTAGAACAAACAGGTCTTTCTGGAAAAATGTTAATTCACTCCCTAATATTATAATTCAGTTTCTCTTTATTCAATACTTAGTTCTTTAGTGTGGATTGTTTTGAAGTTTCTTATCTGTAGAACATTTATTAGATGCATGAAACAAGGATTTCTTTTTTATTTTGTTGAACTTGTATGCAAATAGCATTGCATTAATGAAAACTTTGATGTAATTTGCTTTTTATACTCACTCAGTCTGGAAAGTATTTTTGTTGGATTTATCTTCTTTCGATGTGATTTTTAGACAGTTTGGACATAGGGTAGACCTTGGGAGCATCTAACTTGTGATCTTGTAGAAAGAATATTTGTCTTGGAGCAGATGGTTCTGTAAATATATGTCCTATTTACATAGGTGCTGTGGTGTGCTAGTCTGCAGAAACTATTCATACATATGCATTGTGAAATTTTGAAAAAAATATAGGTTGCTCATTTTGCAAACTGAAGTAACTCACTGCTCTACTTGCAAGCTTGTAGGCGAAAAGATTCTTGGTTTCCTATCATGTAAACTTTGACAAAAGAGTGTAGAAGATGCAAGTCCCTCCTCCCAGACAGTTTCCCAAACTTCAGATTATGCAGTTAGATTATTCCTATTTATTTATTTATTTACGATATTTATAGCCCGCCTTTCTCAACCATATGGCAACTAAAGGCTGGTTATAGATTGGCATGATCCTAGGTGTGCTTTACTTATATAACTACATTCCTAAGAACATACTTAGAAACACTTTCCAGATGGTGCCAAGTATAGAATTTTGTATCTTCCTAGGTGACATTTACAGTGATTTTGTAGGGATGCATAAAAACAGGGCCATAAACAACAGTATTTATTGTTTTAAGCAGAAAAATCATTTTCTTTTATTACACAAAGGCATTGTGTTCTATAACTTACAACCAAGTCTGCCCCATCCCCACAACATTAAATGTTATTTTAAGGTAGTGAATTTCTCTACTGATGCTCACTGTGGGTTTTTTTAATTAAGAAGGAATGAAAATGTGGCTAAAAAGACAAATAACTTCAGAATTGCATATAGTTTTTAGAGTAATAGGATAAGTAATAGCCAGTGTCAGGACAAAGATGTTAAATTAGATTACCACAAATGAGTTTTCTTAAGGGAATTTTGGTCAGTTGCCTAGGAAATCCAAAGTTCTCTCTGGCACTTACTAATGACTTGGGGCACATCTACACTATAGAAATAATACAGTTTAACATGCCTGTAACTGCCAAAGCTTAATGCTATGGAATCATGGGATTTGAAGTTTTACAAGGTCTTTAGCCTTCCTTGCAACAGAGTGCTGGTGCCACTTTGTTGCAATCCCAGAATTCCATAGCATAAATCAATGGCAGTTAAAGGCATGTTAAACTCTGGTGTGGGCTGGTCCATGAGGTCACAAAGAGTCGGAGACGACTGAACGAATGAACAACAACAAAACTATATTAATCACACAGCGTAGATGCACCTTTGTATAATACATTGTTACAGGGTCTGATGCCATTTAACTATCATGACTCTGTCCCACAGAATATTGAGATATATGCTTTGTGAGATACTTAGAACTCTATGCTCTCACAAGTGTTATAATGCTGATTAATCCATTAAAGCTCATTCTAGTAGAGTAACGCACAAACTGCAAGGAAGCCACAGGATGAAACCATGGCAGGGAAAATGGATCAAAGTGCTATAACTATCCTGTTTCAGTGCACCCTGAAAATCAAAATCTTGTTTGAAGAGTGGACAATTCTCCAATTACTTGGCTAATATATGAAAACCGTTGCATGGACCGTGTAGTTTTCAAGTTCTCTCACTAGTGAAATGCATCATGTTATTTCAACATTATTACTTTTATGTTCTCAGATGTACTTGCCCAAACCAAAAACTTAGTTGAACTGACAAAGAGTTCTTACTTACTTAGGTGATCTCTCATTGTCAAATTATGATGGCATTCCAAGGGTTTTATTATTCTTGGAAGTGCATGAATCTTTTTAATGTGTTGAGGTCGGTGCACAAGCCAGTCAACATAGTCTTCACAGAGTGAGGGTCCTAACCAGTGGCATGGTTAACAGGATAATGGTGGCTTCTCAATCTGTTTCAGCCTTCTTCTGCCTTCACAGCTGTTGTAACATGTACCATGTTATCTTCCACCTGATCCACCATTGAGGTCTTCAGGTCTTCAGATTATGCTTGGTCTGGAACCTCTTCTGCATCCCCTCCGACATGACTCCAACAGTTATGTCCAGAGGTTCATTGGAACACATAAGCCCCCTCCATATGACAAGGTGACAATACAGTGCGATCCAGTGATCAGCTCAAAGGGTGGGTGATTAGTAGGCTGCACTTTATCAACCTCTGCTGTACATCTCATCCACTGTTTGAGTGTAGTTT